AGTTACCTCTATCTTCTTCCTACTCGTCCCAACGAAGAGCAATCAAAGAACCCTCCTCCCTTCTACTCACACCTGCACACCCTGGTGCACCCTTTCCTCCTTCACTGACATCAGCCGAGTCGTTGCGCATCTTGTATTTCTTCATGAAAAGGTTTTACAAGAAGTACTTACTGCTGCTGCTGCTGCTGCTCACAAGCTGATACCTTTATGTATGACACTTCAAAGAAGAGTTGGAGAGACCAACAGAGTCAACAGGTGCTTCTTTTGACTGAACAAAGATAAGGATTCTCAAAGAGGGAAAACGACAGACAGAGAGCCTTTTTGCATATTAAAATGTGCACAACAGTTACATGTCTGTTTTCTTCCTGGAAATAAATGCTCACACAAGTGACAAAAAAAACCTGGCGTTTAACTTTAGAACTGATGCATTCCAATGATTGCTATAATTAATTCACAATTCCATTGCTTAAGCATATTTTCTGTGTTCTTTCTAGTCTTTAGAATTGCTTCACTGCGTATGTGTGCTTTGACCTAAAAACATGAGTGTGTGTGTGTGTGTGTGTATTAAAGTGTGTCTTTACCCACATACCCGCAGGGTACTGACTCCATCTGTCCTCCCACTGAGCTCAGATCGGCAAATAAAGACTTTTATTCCAACATGACAGGGCTTTTCCTGCATAGCGAATTTAAAGGTGGCCATCCTCGACTTGTCGCCTTTACCGAGCCGTGCAGCCCTGACGGGGATAATAAAACCCAAAACGGAATCAGGCCAGTTACAAATGAGTGACTTTGAACTGGTGCCGACCTCCACTTTTCTCTTTTAATAGATCCTGTACGTCAGTGTCCAAAGTTGAATTAGTCCAAACTAATTCTAATTCCTGGTTCCGGTGAAGACAAAAAAAAGGACAGATGAGGTCGTACCCTTTTTCTTGTCTTATTCATAAGCTGCCCTTTCAGCCGCACATTTGTGCCTTGCATTTAAAAGTCTCGTCTAACCTTCTCTGTCACAGACCGGATATGTTCAGCATCAGTTGAGGCAATGTGCTCAACATCCGTGCCATTTTCCTTTTAGCAGCATACGAGCCACACTCTTCCTTCAAACAAAATAAAGTCCTCGGGATGTTTCCCCTGTTAAAGGTGGACAACCGTTCAGATAGCTGGTTATCTTCATTCTCACTGAGTTGTCCATGTCGGCGTGCTGTTTTTACAGATGATTACACTTTCTTGGCATTGAAATAAAGGGAATGAAAGGTACTTAGCGTTATTTCCTTCAAAAGGAATGCTGGGTGTTTACAGTGTGATAAAGATTGTGTGATCAATCATGATCTCTTGGTCACACAGCATTTTCCTGTCACTAAATGTCTTGTAATGTCTGAATGAAAGATGCTGTGAGAGACATAATAGAAACGGAAGGAGTCAAAATGTCGACATATATTTGGCCACAATAACAACCCACACATACCACTTATGCCCATTATTGAAATCAGCAGCATCGTACAAAAAAGAAGCCGAGACAAATGAAAAGCCTCTTTTTCCGGATGGACCCGTCCGTCTGTTTCTGAGCCGTACTCGGGTTTGCTATCTATGTATCCAGCCGGTGCAGAGGAGTCATAGACTGAGTAACAGATCAAAGCTGACTTAGGACAGGGAGCAGCACACCAAAACTGATAAACCCAATCATCCCAGTCTGAACTCTATTACTGAGAACAAAGCAAGTGAGAGCCTTTTAGCTGATGGGAAGACAAAAGAAAGGAGGAAGAGGGAGAGAGAGTCAGACATCTGGAGAATAGCGTACAGCTTAAATCCCAATTGTATCATTACATTATAATTGCAAGTAAATCCACCAATATATGCATCATGTGGACCGTACGTGTACGTCTGTTTTGTCGCCAAACAAAACAACTTCTACAACTGCGTGTGCAGAAAACACTTAATAGCATAATCAGAATCGTACACAGGGACAAAGCCCTGCGAGTTCCATGCCTCATAGCAGAATATATCAGGTCATTACTATTCTGAGAGGATCTGACCACAGTCTGCGTCTCTGTGGTAAGTTAGGAATTAAACATGCACCAGCTTCAGCCGAGCACAGAGGGCTGAGCTAAGGGCAATTTGTCTCATTTAACTGCTGCCTATCTGCTGAGTGCAATAAAATGATGCCGGTCCTTTGCTTTTCTAAAGGGCTGTACTGTTTGAATCAATGTGATTACAGGCCTGTAGAAAAGCAGGAAAGCAGGTTCCGAATTCACTAGAGAAGCATTAACCGCAGCAACAGAAACATTGTGTTAAATGTGGGGGCTACGTGCTATTTTTTTTTTTTTTTTAAGGGAAACTTACCCTCAAATATAACTAGGCATACTAAACAGAGGTAACGAGCCAAGAGGAACAAAAAAAAGATATATGTTGAATTGTAAAAGTAGGCTTATGGTTAAATATAAGCTTATGTTTAGACAATATGTATACATGTAGGTATAGTATTCAGAATAAAGTACACAGTATCACATATTTTATATGTTTGATACGTGTGTCATTGATCACAGCATTACAGTACTGTGCATGTGACATCAACTTCAAATGAATACAAAACAACTTCAACGCAGAACTGTCACAATGTCCTTTTCACTTCCTGTTTTATTTTGTAGACCCCCGATCCACACCTCTCAAAAGACTTCACTTCCTGTCTCTGTTCCCTTGTCCGCCTGTTTTTCTCCACACCTGTCTCCAGTTTTGCATCTCACACACACAGGCCAGCCGCTCTCCTGCTCATCGGCAGATCGCCGGTCCTGCGTATAACGCCACTAACGCTGTGACCCCATGAATTCTTCCTTTTCTTTTTTACCTGTGATGCCGTCCGAGCCTCACATACGCCCATACGTCTCTCCCAGGATCCCGCGCCACCGGCCGGTCACCCAGCAACCGTTCGCATGCAGCTCTGGCCCAAATTAGACCAGCGGCCTCTGGTTTCCAATTAAATAAACCACGTTGAACTGCTCCTTGTCCTCTTAGCGTTGTGCTCGTCGGTGCAGCCCACACCGACCAGCACAGGAACTTCTCTCCCATCTCTAATTAAAAATGCTAAATAGCAGTAGGGAGATGAAGTACCGTAACAACTTAAACTTCAGTCACTTCATTTGACTTCAGAGTTTTGTAAAATGTGTTTTATTCATGCAACTTGTTTATTACTTCCCTTCCATCATAAATCATAGAAATCCCAACAACATAACACGTCTTAAAGGCACAATTATTTGTAGTTATCAGTCAGTCGTTTTTAAGATGACCCTCAAAGTTGGCCCTGAGTCTTCACACTGATGCTATTCGAGAATCCTACTTATTTAATCAAATCATATTGAATCTAAAAATTCCACTAAACCGCTACATCCAGTAATCAGTGAAAGTCAAGGTCCTGTTAAAAGTTTGTTCCTGTGAAAATACTAGAGCTGTCAATAGAATTAAAAAAAACTAACTAATTAATTAACTAGTTAATCTGAATTGAAATCCATTAATCTAGATTAATTGTGACTAAAAGTTAGTTAGCAAGACAAAATCGTATACATTAAGGAGTAGGCTAATGACTTTAGAAAGTGTGTATTTTAGACACTGTTATTTAATTGCGTTTGCTTTTAAACACAAAACTACACACCTTTGATCATCTTGGGAGGCAGAATCCCACCGGGTGTAAGTAGCGAGTCCTTCTGCTCTCCTGGTGCACTTTGCTGTGCAGATGTTGAGATGGAAGTAGCCCAGCAGCTAACAACATGCTATCAGTGGCTAACGTGGTCCGACTGCCACTCGTCCCCCTTCTGTTTAACAGGTCGAGGGATTCGTTCCCGCCGTATGTCGCGCCTCTGTATGTTTTACCTCGAAGCGTCTTGGTCTTGGTCAACGCACACCGGAAGTAAACAAAGTTGCGTTAACTGTGTTCAAATATTTTGTTGCATGAATGTAGGCCACAATAATCTCATAGATTAATGTGTTAACTTTGACAGCCCTAGTAAATAAACATCTTAAATATGCTTGAGTTCCTCCTTACGTTTCTGTGGCAGTTCATTATTCAGTAATAATGGCACTCAGTGAAAGCGAGTGCTATGAAGGAGCATAACTGCATAACATGTTCAAGCTAGAGATGTGTTGAAGAAAGCATATTGTCTTTAACAAAAAAAGTTGTGTTTGTAACAAATATTACAGCTCAGCCAATCGGATTAGATGACAAGAACTATGCCTGTACCACTGTTGATCCCTGTAATCGAAGACAAATGCACTCGCAGTTTGTAGTAAGTCTTATGATTCAGGGGGAAAGTTTCTATCATAGATAAGACAGCTCTTGTGTGTGTGCTAGGAAGTAGCTTGTTGTAGCAAGAGGCAGTTATGCAGTATACTGAAGATGTGAAATGGAAATGTGCAGCATTCATTTAAGGTTGCTCTGAATGTGTCAGATAAATGTCTATGCAAGTGTATGCAAATACCACTTTGCCGTCATCAACAGGTGGAAGTGCAAACACACAGCACAAAATACTACTGTCATCCTGAAACGGTGGCATAAGTGCACTAGGTTTTCTATTCAACAAGACACATTTGGGTTCACAACGCATTGTATTTAGGATGTTCATAATGACAAATTGCACGAATCCCCATCGTGATCCATCATCCAAAACCACTTCAATGTCCTGACCTGCAGAGACATGAAGACGCCACCAGCTCAGATAGTTCACTATCAACCCACGACCACAAGATGGCAGCAGTGAATCATTTTAAAGGTTGAAAGGGGAAAATTCATTGTGTTCTGTCTCAGTTATGTTTAAGTATATGCAGCTATAATTTACACGTGCAGCACGTGTCGTATGTCCGTCAGCTTCAAGACATAATGAAAAACCTCTGTAAGATCATCAGAGATTTGCTTCATTAATGATCACTACTGTGCTCTAAAAGCAGGAATGTAGCAGAGCGTGACCTTATGAGTCAGTGTAGAATTTAGAAGAAGAACAGAATACTTGCTGACTTACATCAAATTCGTTGAGGGCAGCAGCCAGCTCTCCAATGCCGGCGTGGCCGTGCTTCTCGTCGGTGGGTGAGGTGGCCTGAGCAGCACTGGAAATGCCTCCGATGGCCTCCTGAACCTGCTTGAACACGTAGTCCCGATTGGCACGTGTGGCCGCCACATCTGGGTGGCGCAGGAAGGCCTGTGAGGCCGTGTACAGCATGGTGGCGTTCTTCTTAAGGGCGCCGCGAGCGGCCGCCATCTCATCTCGACACTGTGGGTCTTTCAGCTCCTGGGGAGGTGATAAAGGTTCTCAGGTAAGAATTAAAGGCTCGGGCATATTTAAGAACTAAAAAGGACCCTACAAAAAGCAAAAAGAATGTCTCAGTATTTGGTCTACAGCATGTTTGGTTCTTGACGGAATCAACAATTCGCGATACAGCAAAGCGGAGCATGAAGTTATCCAATCGTAAGACATTTCCTGTCAAAAGTTAATGTCCCATCTGAGCGCAGTGCGTAGCTGATGGACAGTTTGGCGCGGAGGATGCTTACCAACATGACACTTGAAGGCAAAACGCTTTTTGTCACACTCAGGGCCGTGTTAGATATTCTAACACTTTGAATATTTGCTGATTTACATGTATTTTTGATACTATATAAAAACACTACAACACTGTGAAATGTCAAGCTTAAGTGAAGCACCGCACATGTGAGCTGAAATCATACAGTAACAACCTGTAACAGTTATGTTTTGCTAAAATACTAGAAAGACGATTGCAAAGAGCTGTAACTGCACATCATTTTGGAGCTGGATGATATTTCTTTTAGAATATGAAACCAAACCATTCTTGCTATTATTCACTGATTAATGTCTGGGGATTCTCTCTGCAGATTTTTGACTTATTTCCCAGTAAAGTTGGACGTTTTACCGTGGAAATTAACCCGTTTTTTTTTCCAGGGCAGGCTTTGACTGGCTTCTCCTTGAGAAATTGATGAGATTGAGATTAAGCCATAAGCATTTTCATACATTTAGCTGATCTCATACAATATCAAACCCAATATCAAATAGTCAAGTGGATCTTCACCAATAATCTGCCTTGTACTTGTACAAATGATGTTTACAGATCGCCAAGCAAGGGAGGGAGTGTGAAAGAACTTGTAGGAGTTTTCTCCTACAGAAAACCCCTGCGACACACAAGTCGGGAGTGGTTTACTTCTTCTTTCTAAGACAGAGCACAAGCTTCCAGATACCTGCTGCCTCCGAGCTGCCACATAGTTAAGCTTCACCATCTCCTTCCCGAACTCCTTGAAGCGGTTGGCCAGGTCCTGCTCATTGGTCGCATTCTTTACTCCCTCCAAGGCCTCCTCCACCTGTAACACACAGACACACAAATAGAAGAATCTTCCAAATAACTCGATGGAGGCATTTGAAAACTAGCATACACATATTTTTATTGTCTGATTTTGTTGTGTACATCAAACCATACATGTTACAGCACACGTCAAAATGAAAAATAAGGGAACAGTGTGCACCTTCAATCGGGTTTAAAACGGCAATAACCATTTAGTTACGGGTTAGTTTAACGGGTCCCGTTTGAGAAACCTACACCCCTTTTGCGGGTACACAGTGTTTCGCAGTGATGCACAACGATGTAATGGGAAGAGAGAAGAGAGAGAGAGATCGCTTTTAAGTGGCCTTTAATGGCAGAGCTTATACTGGGTAGAATTAAGCCCCTCTATGGGCCTTAGGATTCAAGCTTGGAAAAAAAGGACGAGGAGTGTGAATGACTGAGTTTGTGTGTGTGTGCGTGTGGGTTTTGAGAGAGAGAGAAAGAGAAAGAGTGAATGAGGTTTTAAGGAGGCCTGAGTTTGATTCAGATTCTGCCAGTTACACATCAATTTTTCTAAAACTCTACATCACCTTCTCTTTCAAAGCCGGAGCCATTTTCACAATAAAGGACTGAGAGAAACTTGAGTTCTTCAAATTACCCTACGGTCAACGAGCGTGAGGGATATTTGTAGTTTATCACGCCAGTGCACTATGGTACGATATTAATACAGCACAATCAGATGTGTGGTTGCAGGATATTCCCCAATGCCTCATCTATATGCTAATGTTTGCAGAGGCCGTGATAAAAGGGTCCTTTGCTGCTGAGGACTACACATCAGGAACAAGTCTCTTCTTTAACAATTGAACAAACCGCTGTACTTAGCTGCACTGTGCATGCACCTGATTGATTCTATCCGTGGGTAGAATTTTTGGGGATGAATCTGTTATTTCAACTTAAGGCTGCATCCATACAAATGAGAATTCTAACCAATAAGTGTAACCGCATGGCTTTATTTTTTCCATCAGGTCACAAAACACCTTGTTGAATTAAATTCAAAATGATACTGATGATCCGTCTAAAAAAAAAGGAAAATGTGATGATTGCACTTACAATTTTGAGGTGGGCCAGCAGCCTCATGACATCGGCCATGTCGGCGAGGATGAGCAGACGGGTGACAGCCGAGAGCAGGGCGCGCGCCGCCCTCACCATGGTGCCGCGTTTCACAGAGGAACACGGGTCATCGGCGAACTCCGACGAGGTAATGCGCATCGTCTCTCCTGCCAGAGGAGACGGCGCGGTTACTCTGGAGCAGGCGGTATATTGCATATATGCGTGTGCGTGCAGCATAAACACACTCCGCATGTCCGTATTGTTGAACACATGTTGAAGACGAAGTGGGCCAATGTGGTATGACTTCATGTTGCATGATGTTTTAAGATGAAACAAGGCTTTTTTTTTCAACGTTTATTTCCCGCAAACAAGTCTGATGCTTGTAGAGAACATTCTGCTATTGAGAAAATAGGTTCATTTTTTTCCAGTGGCAGTGGGCAAATGGCGACGGCACTGGGAGTTATAGCTCTCAAAGTTAGTAAAACTTGCAAAAGAACAAATCCTAATACCCACACCGAAGGCAGGGACACAAAGACAGACTGGCGCTGAGGGGAGCCGTAAGTTCGACAGGCCCGGCGATGCTGGTGGAGAGTGACGCCACAATGGGCCTGATTACTGAACCCCTGTGGTCTGAAATCAGCATCTATAATTCAATCACGACAAGATGAAGGGGTTTGGGAAGGCGCGGCCACAATGACACCGGTCTGATGAGGTGAGAGAAATGTTTTAGAGGGTTTTTACTGCGACCATAACCGGGCCCATGACGCCATCTGGGGACGCCTCCGGTGGCTGCTAAAGGGAGACGGTCTTCTAAAGTCTGCTGAGTACAGCGCACATCAGGCCATCTCTCGCCTCACACTTCTAAAGTTGTTGTAAAAATTATTTTCCTTGACATGTAATTATATCCAACCTCGCACAAAAACAGTAGAAAGGGAGAACAAAGAGTTTCCCCATCAGCAGCCCATTAGTAGTTTGTAGTGGAGGGCTCTTGAGCATGATCAACTTCTCATAACGGCATTAAAAGCTCAAGAGACGTGGAGTGTTAAATGTCCTCTTGTTTTCTAGTGATGGTGGATCAGTGATTTTTACTGGATTCATCTGCTTTTTCAAAAGGGCTCAGCTCTGACATCAAAATAATCAAAAAAGTGCAGTGTAACTAAGGCATGAGCAGGTTGGAGGACTGATCTCATCATTTGGGATCTCAGCTGTGGCGATGACCTGTGTGGCGACGCTCTATGCCACGCCTCAAAAGAGCTGAGTGCCATTAATTAATATAAACACATTCCGTGTTCAACAGCACCAGCTTCCGTGAGGAACACCCTTACGACACAACATACGGTTTGCTCAGTCACACTGGCTCTTTCTGCTGATGTAGTTATCGAACGGGGAATCCAATTCCGTTCTGGGGACAAACATCTGATTCACATGAAGGCCTGCCGACCGGCTCCGAGCACCAATAAAGGAACTTTGGAAAGCGGTGGCACTGACCCGTGAGAGCGGGAGCTCCCTGATTGAGGAGCGGCGGCTGATGGGCTTCTATAATGGGTTACGATTCAGCGAAGGCGCACCACCACCACAGACCGTCAGAGCCAGCAACGCATAACTTTAGGGTAAAAAAAAAAAACCTTCTGAATTTGGCTCACTACAGTCATGAAGGCTCTGTGCACAAAGTGAAGCCCAAAAGTAATGGCTACTAATCTGTCATGTTTAATGGTTTTGCCTTGCCATTCACAACTCTCCAACTGCTGAAACCACGCAAACACATTTGACTTGTTGTGACACTCGGAGAGCACTTAATACACTGCCAAACATTACAATTTAAAAAGTGATTGCTCTCTTTGACCAGCTTTCAATGCCAGACAACATCATTGAACAGTCTTTTCATAGAAAGTGGTTCCAGCAGTGCCAATTATTTCAGCTGGAAATGGTGCCGAGTTGAAAAAGAAAAGTGGAAAAATAAAGCACATTCAACAAGCTCACCTTGCTTCCGAACATCCTCGACAGCAGAAATGAGCTCCTCTTTAAGGTCCTGGCTGTCCTTGGCGATCTGCTCACCCTTTTCCAAAAAGTTTTGTGTGGCCTGCTCAACGGACACGGCGAGGACATGGGCCTTCTTGGAGCGCCCCTTCTTCTTGCTCGATGGCCCTTTGTTGCTGGTGTTCACCAGCGTAGTGACCTGGGGGGAGAGAGGAGAGCTTGCTGCAGGCCGGAAGAGTAACATTTACACGTGAAACATCGGGGCGAGGGTGGAAAAGACACATTTAGAAAATAGCCTGCAGTGTTCAATGAGTCAACAAGTGAGTCTTGTTAAATTTCTGTTTTTTTCCATTTTAAACTGTCCGTGTGAGTCCTTTCGAGTTCCAATTAGAGCGTCAATAACAACAAACCTGAAATGACTACAGTGAATTCACTTCCAGGACCAGCAACTGGAGAGCCGCAATCACGGCTAATACTGCTAAAACTGTTAATAATTCATAAAAGGGAGGGATTATCACCGCGGCTTTCATGCTGGTGTCACATTTGCTGCACACGACTGCGTCTGTCTGTCTGAGGCCGGTGAGGATCCACATGGACGGAATCCCTCATTACACACTCCAGTCAAAGTCAGACGGCCACCGAAGCCGGCACAGTTGGTTGCTAAAAGTAGTTTGTGGAATAAATCAAACGCTCTTCACTCTGAAAAGCTGCTAAGAGCAAAGTCATGTCCCGCCTAGGCTGCGTTATTGAAGGGCTGCAGGAGTCAAATGAAAACTTGAATGATGTATGACGTTGCTCGGGATGGAGCCAGGAATAGAGACCTTTCTCGTCTTTGGAAACTATTTTAAATAAAAAGTAATTCATTATTTAATCCGTATCCAAAGCAGCGCTGTTTATCATCCGGCCCTTTGCTCAACGTCACCGGAACGAGTGCTTGTTACGAAGTGCAAACTTTCAATCTGACTTTGGGGATCAATAAACCTCATCATTACATTTGCACATGGCAGCGTAGACCAACCTCGGGCCAAAACTCCCTCCATCTCGCACACAGCCTGTGTTTCTGCACTCACACGCCGGGTAACCACATCAGAGCTCGGATCCGCCGATAGACACACAAACAAACAGACTCATCGACTGCAGCGAGAGCTCTTGTGATCGTTGTTCAGCAAGTAAATCAACAGCATGATGATGCAAAAAAAATGGGATTTCCATCTGTGCAGGTCATGAAAAGAACCTGGTGTTAGGATTAAGATGGATATCTTTGAAAAAAATGTAATATAATTTTGATAAGTACATTTATATTATCATGTAGCTTACAGTCACCTGAAAGCAAGAATTGCTGTGTTTTTGTTAGTATGAACTCTGCCTCATCTTAATCCTCTTCACGCAGAATGTTTTACAGCCATGCTTCTCCAGATGCCCAGAACCAACAAACTACACATTGGTTCTATTGAGTTTGGACATTTAGTAAAGCTCACAGAAGTTGGAAAAGGACTAGTGAGGGAAGGGAGTTGCAATCTGTACCCACGTCACTGCATCTTACGCACTGCACTCTATTATAATACAATAAGCTGATACATACACACCCTGCATGCATGCAGACATGTGTATCATGCATACGAATATGCATGCATCGACGCAGGCAATGCATGTAATACAGGCACAGTCAAAGTAAGGCTGAGAACAACTTTTTTAGGGTTTACCTATTCTCACGTTGGGCATGGAATTGGATTTTTGCTGCACCTTGGTGATCACTCTTTGTCCCAAAACCGCTCAGAGCCCATGTATTCCTTTCCGTTATAAAGTCAAGGTGTTGATCTCCACAAATACCAGATTGTCGGTCAATGAACAGAGAGGGAGGGCGATTCTACACACAACTCACAGGTACATTATGTGTCTGCAGAACAGCGTGAAGGTGCCGTTGAACAACTAAAGGCAGGTTTTAACCTGCGTGAGGTTGGATGTTAATAATGATTTCATCAATGTTCACTTTCTTTCTTATGAAGTCTCGTTGGGGTTTTAAAGTTTAGATGAGCAGACAAGGGACGCCATAAAAGGCATCTGACTTCATTGCGGCATCAATAAAAACATAGTTTAATTTGTTTGGCACTAGCGGAAATAATACTGAAATAAAGTTTGGAGTGCACCTGGTCCTGTACAATTTGATGCATAATATCCTTAAGCGGTTTTTAAATCAAGCAGAGCAATCATTTTGGCTCATGACGTTCATAAATTGGCTTCCCATACCATTACAGAGTCGATCCACTACCAGCAGCTGGCAACAAACACAATGGATTAGAGTCGGCAGTGTTAATGTGTCTGTAGTCAGAGGATGAAAGATGAGCCACTGATCCCACTCGGTTTGCCGCGGCTTCATGTTGAGGGTTCCGTGTCTCGCTCAGTGGGTGTATATAACCAGCATGGGACGGGACTTTTTTTAACGATATGAGAATCATCAGTTTGTTAATGATTTTTCAAATAATAAGAATTAAAATAAATGCCATTTTAACTAAGTTTAGAGCTTTATATGATTATTTAAAGCCCTAGATTTTCCCTGGCTCCAGTTCCCTGGAAGCAGTAAATACATTAGACAACGTAATGACATTAATCGTAGGCAAACTGCACACTTGTTTGTTTCCTGTTGTGGCCTCTACCTTCTTCAGACGTTAGCTTCAAGATTAGAGGTCAAGTGTGTCGATTTATTTTAGATCTTGGCGGGAACCCGACTTCCATCTCTTCATCATGCCTTTTGCAACGGAAAATGGGAACACACCGAGTTATGGGACTGCATAATTCATCTGCACTTCCAATGCTCATGTATTCATTAAAAGAGGGATGGGCTGAGGATCACACAGGAACATGGCACGGGTCATGTAGCTTTCCGCAGGGATTGAATCAGAAAAGTCAAAAGCTTGCTGATGCTTTGTTCTGCAACAGTGACTTAAAAAAGATTGATGTATATTTAATCATGCCGCAATAACCTCACAGTATTCACTCTGGCAGATTCCATTTATCTACCTTCACACAGATTTAACTGTGCTATTCTTATGATATCTAGTTGTGTCCTCACGCAGAAGCCTCACAATGAGCGTGAAAAAGGGAAACTGATTATATTATCGATAGCTACACTGTGTGTCCAGGACAGTGTGACAGGGGACCAGAATGCACAATACAAGGAGCCTGACATGTTTCAATCTTACACTGTTTAGTCTTAAACTCATCTGAAAATACAGAGTAGACATTTTCAAAGACGGGTGATCTGAGTGAAGGGAAGAAGGCTTCCGTGTCCTCGAAGAAACTTCGACGGAGAAAAAATGTGAGAGACCTACACAAGTGGGCAGCGGAAATTGGACTGATTAGATGAAGCATGGAGATCAGATTTAACAAACATCCCTGGGAGGACGAAAAAAAGGAAAAAGAAGAAGACTTTTGTTCCGGTCTGAATAATGAGGACTTTTAGAGGGTCTTAGTCACCAAAGCTTTTTACTGTGGTTGCTGAGCAATGCAGGTTTGAGCAGTGTCACTTCCACGGAGACACAGCATATGATAAATAGCCATCCAGTTCATAATAAAAGGAGCAGGGATAGAATGCTGCAACATGATGTTAGCTTACAACACTGCTGGTCATGAGTATTCACATCTTTTGAAACTTAAGTTGGTTTGTATGGTTTTCTATTCTAGGACCTGGAAGGGATTTAAGCCTATTGCAGTAAACTTTCTATCACGGTGCCAATAAATGGTGCAACATTGAGATAATGCAACATGTTTTTCATTGAACTGTATTCGTTACTGTGACCGTAACCTCAGCACTTTACTTCATCCACCTCCTTAGACACGTTCCCTACGAGAAAAATGTTTCATTAAATGGTGAAAAAAAGCATTAGCGTTATTTGTGGTTTAACAGAGACGACATGTTTTGTTTCCGGCAAACTATTTTAACATTCAAAAGCTAGAATGTTTTTGGTTTTACAGAACTTCACTCCATGTATGTATATTTGAGGACAGCGCAGTACTGGCGAAAAAAAGACCTGAACACAGACTAATCAAAAGTAATCAAAGCTAAATAATAAATGCATTAGGGCCGGGTACTCTAAGGTTTTATAAATACACCAACGTAGCAATCCGTTAACCCCAACAATGATTTTATCATGCGTTAAACACATTTTTTGAGCATTGGGAGAGACTTACCGCTGCCACAGAATGGACATTTTCATTTGAAATCTCTACCAGACGGCGTAGTCCGTAAAAGCAAAACTTTTTAACTACTGCGAACTGGAATTGTTTTATCACCACAGTACCAAGAACCTGAAGTACCACTTAAAGGCGTTTTGCAGCATTGATGCAGCCCACTAACTAACCAAACAACCGGTGGAGCCAAACATCGGCCGACTACTTTTGCACGAAACGTGCAGGAGAACTGTCGACTAACGAAGAATAATTTGGAGGAATCGATAAAAAAAGTTGATGTTAAATGTTAATTTTGTCATTGTGTAACTGCTCAACTTCGAAGTGTTTTTCTTTCTTCTTTAACTGAGATCTGAGATTCTCCAAAGGAAATCCACAGGCTTTACAGATTAAAATGTCCGCAGTAAATTCCAGCTGTGTACTTTTTTTTGTGCTAGACCACTTTACTTCCCTCCAACAGGGGCCCTGTTACTGAACACAGACTGTTTATGCTGCTCCCTGATTAAAGACAAAGGTTTTTTCTGGTACCTGTTCAGAAAAAATGCCTGTTATATTGTTCGGATCACATTACTTCAACATAACAGCGTGCAATGTACTAGTTTTTTAAGTATTATTGAATTTTGTGCATTATGTCATTAATCGCTGTTAATCACAGAAAATCATGTGATTAATCAGATGACACATTTTTATCTTTTCCCAGCTCTAATATTTATGCCAGCTGGTAATGGTCCCTATAAGCCCAATAATCTGTTGTGTGTGTTAGCAGCACTGCTTGGACTTCATGCACTTCATGTGTTCACGCACACTTGACTTGTGTTGAACCAGGTGATATATTATTTAACCGATATCGAGCTGTACTCTTAAACCTCAGTGCTTTTGGATATTTTGGTATAGCATCAAATTCTTTGTGCAAGCCATAAATACATTAAAAACATTATTTCTTTCCAATTTAATCCAACGGTATGAAATATTTTAAACACAATACGTATGCACAAAAACAGGACTATCCTAATT